CAGTCGCTGAACGTGGGCAAGCCGCTGTACCAGAGCATGAACTGCAAGCCCATGCAGATGTACGTGCTGGACATTAAGGACACCAAGGAGCAGGGACGAGTCAAGTGGAAAGTGTTCAACAGCAGCTCCGTGGTGGGGCCGCCCGAGACCAGTTTACACACGGTGGTGCAAGGCCGAGGGGAGCTGATCATATTCGGTGGCCTGATGGACAAGAAACAAAACGTCAAATATTACCCCAAAACAAATGCCTTGTACTTTGTGCGAGCAAAGAGATAATGCGGCCGCCGCCCGTCCTTCCATCCCTGCGGCTCCTCCTCCTTCCCCAGCCCCTTCCCGACACGCAGGCGTTCAAACTGTGAATTAGGGAGCAGGAAACCAATAAAAGTCCAAGCAAACGCTCCAGCACTGCCCCGGCAGTTCCCAGTAAGACCCCAGTCGTGTTTACAGACGGGGAAGGACCCGAGGATTCGGGGAGAGCAGCCAGGGAATTCCTCTGCTGCAGCCAGGATCCTCCTGGGTTTATTCTCTTCAGTGTTTGTGAGTCTCGGTCTCTCCGAAATTCCTCGTGGGTTGTGAGTAGAAGTGGTTTTATAGGAATAACCTAAATTGCAGCAGGCAGGAGGCTGTTAGCTTGATTAATTCCATGCTCAGCTCCGTCAGGAAAACAGCAATATCCCTCTGGGAACCTCCCAGTGCGGCCAACCTTTGCTCAACACAAACACGATGCCTTTTTATTTTGCCTCTCACCTGCCGCTCTCGTCTCTGTCCTCCAGGCAGGACCAAAAGAAGGAGGAAAGGACATTTTTTTTGTGTCAAAATGCCAAAAATCTTGATTGTTAGCATCCCTCCTCTCCCTGCCCTGCTGGATCAGGCTGGGGGATCAGCCCTGATCCCCTCTGACCAGCAGAAATACTCTGAAAATCCTGTTATTCCCCCAAAATGGAGACATTTGGCTGCCAATTCCCTTCTAGACTTTAAGGTTTCATTTCATTGAACGGCCCAAACCTGTTCAAGGCCGAAGCAGCCCCTTGGAGCCCGGGAGCAGGGTGGGTTTTCCAGGGAAAAGGACAGATCCTGGTAAATGTGAGGGCAGCCTCGATGCAGTAACTTCACCTCATCTTTGCACGTGCCTCCTTCCGCAAAGATTAAATCCAAATCCGAAGGGATTGAACCTGTGCGTCCTTCTGGGACAAGCCCTCCTTCCCTGTCCCCTCCAAGGGGGGGAAACGGGGCAGATTCTGCCAGGTTTTGGTCAACAACCTCCAGCACCCTCAAACCAGGGAGCCCTCCCCAAGCCGGCAGCGCCATGACGTGGTCCCTTCTTCCCGAAATTTTTCTTCTCCATCCCCACTGAGCTTTCTGCCGGTCGGAGCCTTAAATCCCATCCCAGCCGCGTGGGGACGGGGAGGGATTTGCTTCACCCGCGGCGTTTCCACCTCTGTAAATAAACCCTTCATCAAATCCCACCTCTCCCATTCATCCCAGAACGATTTGGGAAAGCAAAATTCAATTTTTTCCCCCCCCCTCAATCCCCAGACCTCAGGAGCACCTCGGGTGAGCTGTGGAATTTTGGAATTTTCCTTCTCCACGCGATGGCCGCGGGGAAGGCGGTCGAGGCTTCGCCATCGATCCCCACGTCCCCTTTGCATGTTTTTTGCCATCCATCCCCAAAAAAAAGAGTCAAAGCCGGGGATGGATGGCGCCTTGATGTCCTTCTCCCTGCAGAGCATCCCTCCAGGGCTGCTCTCCCACTTTCCATCCTGCCCCGCTCCCGGGGTTCCCCTCCCGGGGTTCCCCGTCAGGAGATGCATGTTCTGTGCCCTTCCTTCCGAGAGATTCACCCCAAATTTGGGTCCCTGTCCCCGAGTGCCACGGGAGCTGCTGGTGCTGTGAGCGAGGTGTCCCCCCACCCACCGCCACTCAGGTGTCCCCCCCGTCACTCCCGGGCCGAGAGCAGCAATGGGAAGCGATTCCGGTGATATTTAAAATCTTGTGTACATTTTGGGGGGGTTCATGGGGGTCCCTCCCCCCCCCCCCTTCCCAACGAATTTTTAGTGGTTTAACAAATAAAAAGGAAAAGAAACGGATGGTTGGTGCTTTTGGGGAGAGGCGGGAGTGATTTGGAGGGGGAGTTCTTGCTGTGCTGCCGTAAGTTTGGGGGTGAAAGGGGGGATTTGGGGTCTTTGTCTAAGAGAAGGGAAATATTTGTACAGGGGATGTTGGAGGAGTGGAGGGAGGCAAAGGGGGACACAGAATTTGGGACACTGAAGTTTCTTGGAGCTAGAAATTGGGGATGGGGACCCCAAAGCCTGTTGGGTTGGAAACTGGGGATCCCAAAGCCTGTTGGAGCTGGGAATTCAGGGATCCCAAACCCTGTTTGAGATGGAAGTTTAGGATGGGACCCCAAAACCTGCTAGGGCTGGGAACTGAGGAACCGATCTCCTGCCTGTGCTGGAAATTGTGGATCCCAGGTCGTGCCAGGGTTGGGAATTAGGGACAGGGACACAAAGGCTGTCAGCACTGGGAATGGGGAACTGGAACTGGAATTCCCAGTTTCCAAACCCTGTTAGGGATGGAAACTGGGAATGGGGATCCCAAAACTGCTGGAGATGGTAACCCGGGATGTCAAAGCCTCCCAGCTCTGGGAAATGGGACCCCAAAGCCAGTTGGGGCTGGAAATTGGTGATAAGGACCCCAAATCCTGCCAATGCTGGGAACTGGGAATCCCACAGCCTGTTGGAGATGGGAAATGGGGATGGGGATCCTAGAGCCTGCTGGGGCTGGAAACTGGGACCCCAAGACCTGCTGGAGCCCAAAGCATTCCAGTGTCAGTGATTAGGGATGAGGGAGAGATCCAAAGGCTGGAAACACTGGCAGTTGGGAACCCCAAATCC